AATCGTATCATTCAACTGAAATTGACTAAACAAGATATTGAATTAAGAAAAAGTGCTTTTACCTGGGAATGCTCTGTGACAGGTGTCATATTGCAGATATTATATATTACTCAGCGTTTTATAGTGTTTGTTCAGCGAACTGTGGAAAGGACTATACTCGGAGTTCGGCTGTGTAGTAAAATTTGAGATAAAGAAAAACTAAAATGGCCAATATATCTGAAAAATAACAAATTATTTTATTATTTTAGTCATTTACTGCCCACTGCTAAACATATATATAAGCCTTCCCTATAATGGGAATTTTGCCAGTAGTTGCCATGCTTGGCAGGTGGGCTGGCAACCGCAGTTAGGCTTTTAGAGATGTTTTAAGAGAGTCGCTCCTGACCATCCCTCGCTCTCCCTTAGTCGACTCTTACGACACCCACGAGAAAGGAAGGTTGGCCTATTTTATGTCGGGACTATACGGTGAAGAAACACAAGTCTAAAGTAAAAATGGATCGTTCAAATAGCTCGAAGAACCGACAAATCATAAGGAAGAAAGATTCAGGTGGTGGTTCCATACAAAAAAGCACTATTTAGGAACATTTCCCACAACATAGAGCGACGACCTCAAATGTACTGCAAGGAGTCAATGGATGCAGGTGGCTCAGGACTGTTTTTAATGGCAGTTTACAAGGCAGGCCTATGGTGAGTAAATAACAATTAATGGCTGAAATGATGATAAGTATAGCTATGTGTATAGATATTTTTTTTTATCTGTATCTAAAAGAGGAAACAGTTTAACTGTTTTAATAACACGTAACAGACATTATATATCCATGCATTATGTTATATCGGAAAGATTTCTTGATTCATTTGAGCAGTCAACGGTTAAATTATTTCATTATTACCATATGCACGATATAATTATTTCCAATTAAAAGGCAATTTGATCAAGATAGTATATTTTTTTATTTAGGTTTTATTTAAAAAATATGGTTTTTAATTTTCTAATATTTTTTTTGCGACTATTGATCCAATTTATTTATTTATTTATACTTTTGCACACATTGAAAAATGACTACAGGGCGAACTTAATGCCTGATAGCATTATGTTATATTTTATGTTTTACAATTTAATTTTTTTTTATTAATTCATAGTAATACTATGCCAGTCTGTCAACTTCATGGAAAAATCAACAGTAATTTTTTATGACTTCTGGAAATAGCGATATGTCTCGAATAGTCATGTAATGCTTCGGAACATATCGAAGGTTTAAAAAAGTTATTCCTTACTATACATTGTATTAGATTAGCATTGTAATAGAAAATTATAAGGTAGGTTATCTTCATCTAAATTTGACGCAAACAAAGTTGCATGTACAGGAACTATAAATGTAGGCCTAGAAACAAAAAAGCTACTGTGACCGACTTATCGATATGTAGTCTTGAATTATCCATTTTTTTTTTTTATATTATTTTAAGGGCTTTTACCTTCTTGAAAATTAGGATTATAAAATCCTTACGCATAGAACAAAAATATATTTTAACACGTAACAATAATATTTTACTTATTAAAAGAAAAATAACAGTGTCAACGTTTCATTGAAAATGTAATACAATATCCTTACTAAGCTCTACTAATATCATAAATATAAAAGTGAATATTTGTTTGTTGTCTCTTAACGCCTTAACGGCTTAAGCAATCACTATGAAATTCGGTATACCGATATGTATTATATGGTTGGAGAAGGACAAAGGCTATTTTTTGTCCCAATTGGTTCCAATTTGTCCCAATTGGCCAATCCAAGCCACACAGACGATGTACAGGGATCAAAGCTAGTTAATTTATAAATAAGTTTTATTTATATATACCTAAAAACTTCTGTATTACGAGTAATAAGGAAATGAGTTCCCCTAGAGAGACACTAACTTCATTAGAAATTGTAATTCATAAGAATATTTATTTTTATACCTACGAATAATATTAATTAAATAAACTGTTAAAAACGCACAGATATTAGTCCGGTTGGGAATTATATAGCTGTAGGTAGACATATAGAGAATCAGTTTAAAATTATGACAATGTTCTTCAACCAACTGCTTTTAAACAACCAACAATACAAATACCGGGGATTCAAAATACGAAATTGCTTTCAAGCGAATATCCGAATAATCAATACGATGTATGACAGTATGGAATGAGCGCCACAGTGCCCGATAATTGTGTCAACAGGAATTACAATATATATTTTCTCGTTGTCGATATGAAAATCTATTGTTAACCTCATCATCATATCAGCCCTTTACTGTTTTCTGCTGAATACAAGTCTCCCTCTATTGGGGTGTTTGCTAATATTTGCCACGACTACCGGTTGGATTGGCAACCGCAATTTGGTTTTGGTATATGTTTTAAGAGAGACGCTGCTGCTCATCCCTTGACAATTAAATTCTCTTAGTCGTCTCTTACGATACTTACGGAAAGGAGATCTATGTCGGGACCACGCAGAATTATTAATTTATTTATTATTTTATTAATTTCTGAACATTTTCAGTAGGTCAGTAATAGTGAGACAAAATGGGGTTTAAACAAAAATTATTTGTCTAGTATAATAAATAGAATGAGTACCTAGGTATATCACCTAAATATTTATTCTCGTTCATGGCAATTTGACTGTATGCAATGTTTATCTTTTATTGTGGATTAGCTCTAGTTCGAAACGTTCAACAATTCAACTTTCGTTCACGCGGATAATGTTCCGGGACGGAACATTGTTAACCTATATATTTCTTCATTATAAATAGTGTATTATAAATTTCATGACGATTGACTAACAAGCAGACAATCAGGTCTATCAGGTCGACCGCCACGCAGTTTCCCGTGGAAACCATCCTGATTAATTCTTGTCAAATTCTTTACAATGAGCCAACTGACCTGCCTTCATCTTCACCTATCATCTATCACTAGTGCCTCGCCAGCATATACAAATATCGCATCGGAGTTACCATTCCACTTTTATCCATTAAAAAATAACAGAAAATTATATTCACTTTCATACTTAGTATATCAGGAAGGATTTTGAAAATAAATTACGATTTTTTTACGCGTTTAGATCTAAAAACTCATCGTCAAATTGAGAACTTTTTCTTTTAGCCATGTTTATATAGGAACAGTCGCTTAATGGCAGAAACACGAGTGAGATAAAAATACTCAAGCAGACTGCTTTTGTTCAATGTTTGTTTTTGGTGTGTGAAGTGATATGTCAATATAGATTTTTCCTTTATTTTCCCGTACATACAATCTCAACTCGTGTGAATTGATTGAAGTCCTGCACATTTGTTCGTAATTGGTCACTTTATTCGCTTGCTGAATAATGTACTCGGTATTTTACCAAAAAAATTCTCGTATTGTTATTTATAGAAGACGGTGGAATTAAACCGTTGTGGATGGGAAGGTACGTAGTTATTTGGAAATGAAATTGTTTGCTATTATTACCTACTGTTACTGAGTGTAGGATAGATATGTTATAGGTAAAAAACAAACCAATAATATCTTAGTACTTATTGAGGGTTGGGGTATGGCTGTGAATTTACAGGGTACAGAGGAATAACACCTGAGTCCTCAGGAACAGCAACGCATGGGGTATAAATATAAATATTTCACCAGAGGGAGACTTTGTACAAAAGTCGTTTGCTTGGGCACCTCTGTCCTATTCGTGTTTCTACCGCGAAGCAGTTGTGTTTGCATGGCTGTGTTTCGGTTTGAAGGGTGGGATATGTTTACAGGACGCAGAGGAATAACACCTGAATCCTTAGGAATGGCAACGCATAGGGAGTATCATGGGCGAAACGGTATACTCTGTTATGTCCATGGTACTGCTTATGTCTATAGGCGACGATTACCACTTTCCATCAGGTGGATCGCCAGCTTGTTTGCAATTCTAAGTTGTATAAAAATATTATATTATCATATTAAATTAATATAATTGAATATGATACGACTTCATGTCTATTTTTTATAAATATAGGTATATTTAAATTTAGTATGCAAAATTTGTGAATGTATTAGCAGACATTTCATAAAACCTTGTTTATGAAACTAGTCTAGCAAGATAATACCTAACATAATGTAATTATCATCACGTCTTAGTATTCCTATTGCAGTTTCATAACATCATTTATGCAGGTGACAATGATTTCATATAGTTTATTTTTTATTCATATGTGTGTTATTATCAATATAATTGTGTGCGTGTTTATATTTAACCAAAGTAAAAAAATACTATATGTGCATTAATATACTATATGTGTTGATCGAATGTTTTAGACATAATAAGAGAATATTAATAGTGTTTTTATTTTGTATTTGCTGAAATCTTTTTTTATAAATAAGTGCTTAAAATATATTTAACTTGCAAATAAATTGATACCAAGAATTGATATTACAGAAATATTTTAAAAAGGTATATTCTTCTATATTTAAAATTAAACGAATATTTTAGTAAGATTCTAAAAGTAATGATTTGTAATAAAATTATTATAATAGATTTCATTTTGTTCATTCAAGGAAATTCAATATTTACATATTTCTGCAGCGGTTTATTGTTTTCTTATGAAAATACCCTGAATTTAATAATTTTATGTTTAAAAATAATGAGTGTTTAAGTAATATTTTATTAAAATTATATCTACTCGTATTAGTTTATTTTGAATATGAACCAAAACTTATCTTTTTTTGAAAAACCTAGTCAAAGAAAATTTCTAATTATCCATTTGTTAATAACATCCATTTAGTTTTATTCTAATCCAATAATATATTTCTTATCTCTATTAACTAGAATAATTATTTCTCTAATATCAAATAATTATATCTCTATTAATTAAAATAAAAATTTCGCCTCTTTGGATAAACTTTATTTTAATATTCTATTATTTTACATATTCTATTGTCTTTTAAGAAATTTGATTTCAGAATTTTATGTCGATTATTGCAATAAGTTTCATATTTTTTTTCTTTTCAGATACTAGGACGAGTTTGCACCTGAGTGCCAATATTCAGGTATGAAGTTTTTTAATATCGCAAGTAACCTACACAAAATGAAAGATTATTTCTTTTTGAAACTAATACTTTAACCGTACATTAGCTCACTGTAGAATTTTCTATTCGCTCAATATTTCTTATATTAAATTTTCATTCGTATTAGCATCCTATTGTTATTTTCATATAGCTTTTTCATATAGTGGGTAAAGTACTCATAGTACGCGGAGTAGTTGATGATAAGTGTTTGCCACAGTATCTGAATGTTTCATACCGGAACATACTACATAATTGTTCAAATGGACTTTAAAATAAGAAACTCTTTGATTCTAGAATAAACGGCGACAGTTCAGTTGGACCTTATAAGAAATATACATATATATTTCCTCTGTGCTCGTACAACGTTTGACTGCATTTTGGGATTCTAGAGAACGAGTTCTATTTTAAAATTTACTTTTACAAATTTATGTCTTAATCTTGGAGGGCACATAAAGCTGTCATCCAGTAAGAGTGAAAGAGTGACCTAAAAACCTTTTTTTTCATTAGAGGACGTCACTCTCGACTTAGTAACAGTGGATAAAATATTTAATCGTAGTATTCTGTAAATACATTTCACGTAATACATTCGTATGTAGATAAAATCAAACTCTACTTTTTTATTGATACGAGTAGGTAATATTTTTTATGTAAGTTAATATTGTTTTACCAAATATAGTGCCGTAAGTTGTTAAGATAATAAAATAATCTAGAACTGGATTTCATCTAGTGTTAAAATGTATTAATAATGTTATTAGATTAAAATGTCATCACACTATGAATCATTAATGAGGTTTAAATGAAATAAAACGTTATTTGATAGCCCAATACGATTTACGAGTGGCGTGTAAGAAAGGTCTCTGATCGTATTAAATTTCTCGCAAAGAAACTTAGAGAATCTTTACAAAGAGTTTGCAATTTCCATTTAATGATATCAAATATCACTTTTTCGAAGTTTCTTACATTCATTAACTTTTTCTTTTATATTACTTTGAAATATTAAATAGAGTAATTGTATAAAAAAGCAATGCTTTCATTGTGTTTTTATACAATTACTACATTATTCACACATACTTAGATTGAAAAAAAAAAATTGTTATATTATATTCATAATTGGTGAAGGTATAGCATATATCTGCATGCGAATTCAGAACTTCTTGCAATCATTGTAACTAATGAAATGGATAAATAAATTAACATACAAAGTGTTTGTTTAATGTAATACAATTTTGAAACTATAATCTGCCTGTCTATCTGTCTGTATTTAAGCTGATTTGTTTTTATATATTTTAATAACGGTACAGATTATATAAGCCACTCTATCATTAATTCCTGTCCTCAGCTCGACAGAGTAATAAATAATATCAAGCGTGCGTGCGAGCATAATTGCTCAATGCGAACACTAACAGAACTGTGATGTGAACATATATAAATAAGGCCATGCTACACAATGACTATTCTATATCAAGACTAGTTGTGCCCGTGACTTCACGTCTATAATACCATTCTATCACGATTAATTCGGTAGAGCATTGTTTCGCACTATTTACATTTTTACGCCGTCAGTCTTAAACATCAATCGATTTAAAAAAAATATCCCTTTTTTTATATTACTTTGGCGACGGTTAACACTTTCCATCAGGTGGACTGTCAGCTTGTTTGCCATTCTAAGTTGCATAAAAAGAACTTTCATACTTGGTTCATATTTAATTAAAATATGTAAAAATGTTTTTTTAATTAATTTAATTAAACCATAGCTAATTGTAAGTTTCCTTGATGAATATAGATACATATGTATATTTCCAATTTTATTCCTGGTTTTCTTTGTCGTCCACAGTAATCAAAGAAAAAAAAATCTTAATAATAATAATGTTTATGGAATATCTGTTTCATATTATAAGAAACATTTGTACCTACATAGATCAATTTTAAAACGAATTTATTTATTATCAAAATAAGCACTGGCTTAGTCGACTTACGCGCTCATAAGCTAGGGTAAACGTTCTAATAAACGTTTATATTCTGTACACTCTGGTAATAGAGTGTAATAATCAGATAGAACATAAGCTTATCTCTCTCATAGCTTTATGTTACAAATTAGGTTACAGATAAGCTTAAAGTACATTTCATTAGAGTCTCTTCACTGATTTGTATAGTTTATATATGTGCTTTTACATATCTGTCACGCTTGTCTTCCATTAGGTTAGGCGGAAATAATGGAACACCAAATTCGATTTAAACAAGTTTTTCGTTTTCATACATGCTCGCCGGTTACAGCTACTTTTAATTCCCTTCTTTAGCATGTCCTTATTTGATCGATATATGCCCTTTAGAGTGGCCGCTTCTGACAGGGGGAAAGTGATTATTAGTAATGGGGTCTAATTTCCTCATAACTAGCAATATACTCTATTAGATCGGCCTCCATGCGGTTCTCCCTGAAAACTATTGTAACTAATTCTAGTGGAATTTGTCACGATTGACTGAGGTCCCTGTTTTCATCGTCACCTATCATCCCTTACTGGTGCTCCGCCAGCGTATACGGGCGTAGGCGGGGTTACCATTTCATTATTATCCATTACAAAAGTTAAAAAGAAAACCAACGTCTCCATTCATTATTGCTAGATGATGTCGATAGGGGTCGCCCTAGATACTTTTAAAAAATTAGATATGCGTATAAGTGTAAGAAAAAAACCGAGAATAATGATTTGAAAATAATAAATATTATAAATATATTGTATGTTGTTAACAACTGGAAGTTGGAAGGATAAATTAAAAAAGCCGAATATCTGAGATTACCCAAATATTACAAGCAATAAATATCTATTGTAAATATCTTGTATTTTTATTTACTGTTTGTTATCTAGATATTTTGTGAATTAGGTATCTACTTGTATTTTATATTTTTTTATATTTCGTGATGTTGGAAATTTTGTTGCTCAAATATTTTTTTAATACTAAAAATAGCAAACAAGCTAACGGCTAAAGTGGCAATTGTCGTCTATAGATTAGAATGATTCTTAAGTTACTTTTGTGAAAATGATAGTTGCTAGAAATATGTAACTTAGTACAGTCATTATTTACATGTATGCAATCTAAGTATACCTGTTATGTAATCGTGAGAAAATTACTAAACGAATTTCAACGGAATTTAATAATCGAGTAAGTAGGTATCAGCATATCTTAAAAACGTGTATGTTTTATCAAAAATCGGTAGAAGGAACTGTGAGATATATCTTGACCCCTTCATTGTTTGAAGTGAAATGAGCTAGATACGGTGTTAGTGTTAAAATACCACATCAGTTTTATGAATAAATTAGTTTTGAATTTCATAAAGACAAAGTTATGGACACAAAAATGTAGTCAATATTGTGAACACCGACTATAAGTGTAGATGCATGCTACACAAAAAATGGAACTTAATTTATCCTGTTATAATATTATATAATATACCTAACAAGTGCGAAAATTTGTAACGATGGATGGATGTTTGTTACGCTTTCATGTAAAAACTATCAAAATTTTATTAGATTTGTATGAAATTTGATACACGGATAGGTTATATCCTTAGTATAACTAACATAGCACATAAAATATTTCATATATTGATTCACGTAGGCGACACCGCAGAACACATTTAGTATATAATATGCATATTGTTGGTACCTATTTCATAAATATATAATAACTGGGTCGTAAACTAGCTATTTACCGCGGCTTTGCCAGCGTGAAATTAATTACTTTACGCTCCCATGACATTTTTGGGAATTTAATATATTGCATGAGGAACTATTTGCAAAATTTATTGTTGCTAGATTAACAGTTACTATTATTACTCATACATTACGTAACATTATATACATCAGTCAATTTCTCTCTTTCGTGAGTGCGACGATGATTAATTTGACGAGCTATTTTATACATTGAAAAGACTTAAATATTAAAATATATTTTTTTGCGTTTATATAAAAAAGTATATCGTGTACTCAATCTATTATCCAAGATACGATTTCATTTCAATATATTATTAAAATAGGCCAAATTAATGAGTGGCCTCGTAATATATTGCGTCTGGGTAATTAAACAATCACCGAGACGGTTGGAAAACAGTCTACTGTGTGCTGAATAAAAAAAAATACCATGAAATCGTGTATTATGTCGAAGAAACATGACTAGGTCGAAACGATTCAAAACGACCGTGGCCAATCTACTTGCTTCCGGAACAGGTGACAAATGACAGTTAGTGATTGTTTACAAAAACATTGGGCTATATATTGATATACTTGTTCCACTTGTATCTGTAGTAATTAAAATATATTATCGTCATTTACAAAGTTTAGGATTGTAAGATTTCGAAAGTATCGAGTTCAATCTCAGCATAGTACAACCATTTGTATTCTTAAGTAGATATGCCTGTTTTTGTTGGCTTGGGTATTTCCTATTTAAAATATACCTATATGTATTTAGTTATTTTAGACTTTAGATATTTAATTGATATAAATTTAGATTTAGAGTTATTGTAATACCTTATACATATATTTTTTGTGCAGTAAATTATACTATTAAATATATGTAGGTATATAGAAAAAAGCATATGAATATTTCTATCAGTCATATTTATAATTGGAACTAACCAGTTCTGCTAAGTATTATTTTATAATATGTCAAGTAGGATTTGTTTATTTTTCACGTAAAAGAAACATAACTGGGTTAAAATGATCAAAAAACGACCGTTGAAAATTAACTTGTTTCTCGAATGCCGCTAAGTGAAAAAATACAATTTGTTTACAAACTACATAAATATAATTAATACTTATTTGACTATTTTTCATAATAATTAAAAAGTATTGTCATCTTTGATTTTAATTGTAATAAAATTGTCACGAAATTGTTTTAATATAATAATAGAGTACATTTTACATGACTGCTGAAAAAAGGAGAGTAAGGTTTTTTAGGATGTTTTTATGGAGTAGTGTAGATCAAACGGT